TGGGGTGGACAGTCACCAGCCTCTCCCAGCCTCCCAGGCCAAGACCACTTGGCTCTTGTCCAGGCCTAGAGGGCAGACCCACCCTCCCAAATGACTTTCCCAGCTCACCCTGGGTTGGTGCTCTGACAGGTGAGTGAGGGTGGTCAGGGAGCCTCAGGTGGGCTCAGCTGTGCCCTGTCCCAGTCCACCAACGTGGTTTTGACTTTAACAGTCCCCACAGAAAATGGAGGAGGAGATAAAGAAGGGGGAGGAACGGGGCATTTGCTGAGCCAGGCACTGTACGGGGCACTCCCTGGTGTTTCGGCCTCTAGGTCTCCCCCATGCCCTTAGGACATCAGAGCAGTGATTATCTGCATCGGACACACAAGAACACTGAGGGCAGAGTGGGGCTGACTTGCCCAAGATCACACAGGTAGCAAAGGGCTGAACTGAACTGAGATGCGAATCTGGGTCTTTTGACCTCGAGAGCTGGTTTCTTTTCACACCACAGGGACATTGATCCTCTCAGAAGTGCCCTCTTTGTTAACAGTGCTGGCCTGCACTACTCCCTGAGTGCAGCAGCCAGCAGCCGCCCCATCCCCAACAGGAAGTGCAGCCCTGCCTCTTTCTCCAAACAGGTCCCTGAAGAGTGGGGTGAGGGGCCTGCCAGACAGCTGCTCTGAGTTGGAGACCAATGCTTCCTTCACCGCCTGGAAGCCGCTCAGCACCACGACAGGTGTCAGGCCTACCCACACGGTGAACACACGTCCATGAGCCTGGGCCAGCTGCAGAGAGACCAGGTAACACTCACCTTTGGGGCACTGTCTCAGAACACCTCCACCCCTTTTCCCAGATAAGCCAAACCTGGGTCACTGGCTCCCTGTGTGCTTGGCAGGATCAGGGCCCAGCACCCCACCCCATCAGGCCTGGGAGCTGGTATCCTGTGTGGGCCATACATGTCACTTGAGTCCACCCTCAGCATCAGTGTACAAGAAGAGGTCATCTCCATTTTATGGCTTAGAAAACATAGGCCAGAAAAGGTAGCAAAGGACCAGGACCTCAAACCTAGGTATCCCAACTCCCATGTCCTTCCAGGGAGTAAGGAGCCTGAAGGTCATAATTTTCTGATATCTTGAACCAGATACTTTAAAAATATATTTGTTCAACATTGAGAAGAGAGCTGAGCCTTGCCAGGGAAAGGGCAGCATGTCCTGCCCACTGTGGCTCTCTGCAGTCATTCAGGCCTGGCTCACTCAATCCAACAGACACCCTCCACCTATCTGTCTATAGGTGAAAGCCCCTTCCCAGTCCTGAGGCTTCCTCCACCCTCCACCATGGCTTGACCCTGTTTTATGCTGGTGCT